CCATTCACCACAACTCTCTGGGCTCGGCAAGCTCATAGACAGTAAAATCTCACAGATATGTTTCTACTTCAGGCTTGGCCATCAGAGACCAACAAGCTTTTCATTCTTTGAAATTCTAACTTCTTTCCTTTAAATTGATATTTTAGTGCCCCCACAACCCCCTGTACACACCTCCTATGTAGAAATATTTAAATTTATGTCATACTTGGAGGGAGCACATTACACTTCTGATTGAGACTTTCAGACTGTGTTTTCAATGAGCATCATGGTTGTTGCCATTTGACACAAACATTCCCCAGGGAAAAATGGAGTGAATAAAACCTCTGTGATGCTGTTCTCCTGGCTTGACTGCTTTTGAGTGGGAAATCTAATGAAAGTAGCCATTTTCAAGGAGGTTGAAGTTTGCAACCTGTTTATATTTGTCACTGTATCTTAGTTTGACTAGTAATATCTCCTACAGAGCACTTTCAATAGGCAGTTGGACCTGTGTTTGCTGGGTCTGCAGTGCTCCCTCTGCACCGGTCCCATCCAGTAGGTTGGGTAGATCCCTCTGAATCACTGGAGTGGTGCCACTGCTGGATCGGAGGAGGGAAGTGTGCAAAAGGTGGCACAAAGTGTTTCTGTCCCACAGATGCTGCAGTGTGGTTACAGCAAAGCAGCCAAGGACTGGATGATACTTGAGGAGCAGCTTTTCTATAGAAGGGGCCCATGGGGACATGCATCACAATCCTTAGAGCCACAATGGATTCTTGATTCTTATGAAGGGCCTTCACGAATGAGGAGGAGGATTCAGCATGCAAACACCCGAGCGACAATGACGCATATGAAGAATGAGGTAGAAGGCTTTTGCAGGATGAGTACAATTTCTGTAACAGTTGCTGGTGACTTTATACTCACCTTTTTCCTCTGGTTCTCATCACCTGACTCATCAATATGCTGTGCCATGCATAAACAACTCACTGAACAAGTCTTGTTTTGAAAGAGTAAGAGGGTCTGAAACGTGTTTAGCACCAACAGAATGATTTTCCCTCTTTTCTGGTATAAGATGAGAGTATAACCCAACCATACTTTTCTGCTTTTAATATCTCATGGCTGTAGCACTTCCCAATGTATGCAACAGAGTCCACTTAGAAGACTGCACTGTCCTGTTACTCTTATGTTTATTAGGGCTGCTAGAACTAGTGAATGATCAAAAGGGAATTAGAATGGTTTGAACTAAGCATTGAACTGTATATGTGGGATATTTACTACTGTCTGTCTCTATAGTGTCTAAGTGCCAAATCCTATCAACCAGAAGCTGAAGTGCTTCAGTGTGTCAGGAGGCTCCCAACTCTAGGATGTTTTAAGCTTTTATGTAAAGCTTGAATTCCGGCAGTTTTCTGTAGACTGGGTGGTGTGATTTTTAACTGGCCTCATGCAGGATTGTCTTTGAAAAAACAATAATCCGTTTGCTTAATTGTTGACATTTGTTCCTACATATAATTATTCTTTTGGTCCTTTCAAATTACTTTATTTGAATTTCCAAGGCATTTGTTTGCAGCATAGTTCCAAATCTGTGTTTTTTCTCTGTAACAATGTTCTGAGTTACATTCACCTGTCTGCATATTCCACTCTAGTCATATCTAGTCTCTTTTCAGGTTCTCCTAGCAAACAGAAATGAAACAAGCCCCACTGCTGAAATGAATCCAGGTAACCTTTGAGGCCTAAATTAAATTATCAAGAGGGTGTATACAAACAGCCAAAGAGAATTGGAGTTAGTGTATGGAGTTTCGGGTCAGAATTTCACCTAGTGAAAAAAACTTATTGTCAGTGGTCTGGGCTAAAAAGTCACTTGAACATCTGTGAAAAGACTGATGCAATTGTTATAGGTGGTGTATAAACTCTCTTCAGAATTTGTTGCTCTCTTGTTGCCACCAGAAAGATCTGAAAGAAAAAATGTTAGCTTGAAATGAAAGCTTTGGGCATTCTCGGGCACCTGGAAAGCTCCCAACTGCTCAAGCTCAGAAGAAAAAGAGCAGACTTCCCCCATGATTTTAGTAGACACTCCAGTTCTATCTCTGAAATAGTATTTAAAACCAGGTGATAGATGGCTCAGAGAAGTGATAATAGGAATTGTAACTTTCCAAGAGTGTGTACAAAATAATAGAGAGTGGAAGGAAATTATCACGAAAATTAACATGTCAAATTGTTTTTCACTGTTCAAACTAGAATCAGATTTTTCAAAATATGATCATTATGACAACATTTTTCACTTTCCAAGGCCAGATTTTCTGTTATGTGAGAAATTAGAAGAAGGGGGGTGTGTGTGTGTAATATGGTACAGAAGTCAATAGTTTAAAAAAAAAAAAAAACAATAAAAAAAACACTATAGGCAAAAAACATTGAAAAAGAACTGTAGTTTGGAAATGACAGCCAAGTCTAAGGCTGTGGATTTCAGCCTCCTGTATGGCTGCTTCAAGTCAAGCTTCTAGTGTACACTGTTGGAAATAGGCAATATTGTTGTATACTTTTTAGTGTGATAGGGCCTAGAAATCAAGTGACAGTGGAGCTCCAAACACGATTGAAGTACTATGTAGTTTCTGCATGAAAGTGGTTACAGTCTGCCTTCATAAGAAGGCTTATCATGCCTTCCCTAATTGCATGCACTGCATGAATTTGCAAGACTTAGGAAACAGCTTGGGCAAGATAGGAGTGAATTGTCTGTCCTTGGGTTCTCTTTAAGACCCTGCTCAGTGCATGTCCCCAAAAGACTACCATTTTAATTTTTTCCTAGTTTCATGTGAATATGTGAACAGATTATTTTTTTAAAATTATTTGTTTATCAGATGACTAACCAAACACAGTGCAGAGATGAGGATAAATACATTTGTTCAATACGTTTGAATCTTCAGTGATTATAGGAATTTAGTTTGAATTATGACTGAGTGCAGCTACCTGTTTTTAGTTCCCTGAACTAAGCATCCTTCTTTAGCAGTCACAGATTTTACTTCTCTTTTGCTTGTTTTTTGCAGAGAAATTATGCTATTTCCCAAGGTAGAACAGATTGGGTGAAAGTCTAAATTGCAAATGCTTTTGGTGTCATCCGGCTGCCACTAAAACTGCAATCTCTTTTATACCGATATAGGAGAGCTGACAGTAAATGGAGCAGAAAGGGAGATGGATAAGAAGGGATTGGATTGTAACCAGCTAACATTCTTCCCCGCTCTGCATGAAAGCTTCCATTCAGAAGACTTCTTGGAACTGTGTGTGGAGAGACAAATTATATTGCAGGAGTTTGCAGAGAGCGAAAAGGTAGGAAAGATGAACTAGAAGATTTCAGAGATGAAGGGAGATGACATTTTAGAGGGTGAATTGGATGTGGAGGCCTATCTGTCCCTTTCCATTTGGGGTTCAGGTGGATTCAGGCTACAGTAAACATAGTCACTATCTCTTTCCTTAGAGCAATTACAAATTTTCAGCCTCTTTATGAACTCCGATATAGACTTAATCTTGAAGAGCATTTAACATTAACTGTTTGCAGTGACAGAAAAAAATTTGGGCATCTGACCAAGGTATTCTCGTACCTGTGAGACAGTATTGTTTGAGTTTGCCTAAGACATGGCAAATTATGAGACTCTGAGAATTCCTGTCCTCCTTTATTCAGGCTCAGAGCAGTGCCTGGATCAAATTTATTTATTAGCTCTGGAAGACTGTGCCAATTTTGTACAGACTGCTATCTGCTGAATACCAGGAAATGTTTTCTTCCTCACTTCACATGTCTTTTTCTTCTCTGCCTCCCCATAAGTACTGGACAGATTCTTTCCTCTAAGGCCATAGCGATTTTCCCTGCTTCCTGTTTGATGCTTCCATCACCTGTCACCTAGTCAAAACAGCGCTGTTCCTTCTTTGTTCTTGTACTGGACTGGATATCCTTGTCCCAGGTTTCTTTCCAGCATAAGAAAGAGGCAGGTTCAGGAACACTGTGGGAGGACATGAGCTGTGGAGTAAATGGGGGTGACTCTATTAGGGGGGTGGTAACTCTGGTCTGGTGTTCTCTATTTAATCCCTTTGCTCAAAAGTCAGCAAGCTGCTCTTCACTTTCAGCATAGTCCCCACAATAGTGACTCCAAATCAAACCCTTGATGTTGGATATGCACTGCACATAGCCATTTTTACGCAGGACTCTGAGAGATTTTGTCGTGAGGAGTAGATCTGGCCTCATTCTCTGATCTTTTGCAGTGTACCTGTTTCTTCCAGTGGCATCATTCCCCCTGTTGGCTCGAGAGTTAGCATCCCATAGTGGAAGCCAAGGGTCAGACTTGGAGTGTTTAGACTCAGCCATCACAGTGCTGTGATAGTTGTACATAGATATGGAAATAATTATTTTCTTTTTGTGTCTGAATACCATTGCCAGATTTTCTTGATGTTTTGCCAGTAGCCATGGTCACATTCATGCTCTCAAACATGATGGCTTCCTCATGCTATTAGAGCTGTTGGTACATTGTCTGTCTATATAACATATTTCATTTCCCTGCCCCTCCTCCTTCTCCCCCATACCTTTCCCCAGCAGAAGGAGACAAGCATGAAAATGTGAGGCATGTTCTCTGTGTGCTGTTCTCATTTTGAGCCTTCAGGCTGTCTGTCTCTTCTCCATGTAACTCTGCAGGAAGCTGTCAGAAATGCCAGGCATGTATTTTTCCAGCAGCAGTCACCATGTTGCTGAGCTGACAGAAGTATTAAAAAAAGCAGTAGGGGGTGACATTAGCTGTCCTGTGCTCACTTAGTGCGCTGCGGTCCTGCCTTGTAAATGGCTGCCTCATGAGCTGTTTGCACTTTAAGCAGGCAACTGGAACCATCTTACCTACTGCACTGCACAGTCATTGTGATACTTTGACAGATACTAGATTGATTTCTGGAACACAGGGGTAGCCCTTCTCTGGAAAGTGGTCATTGTTTTATAATGTCATGCAGTGCTACTTTTGCATTTCCATTAAACAGATGCCTTTGTATGTATTCAGATACGTGAGATGGCTTTTTGCAGAAGCAGCAGATCAAATGCTGTTGATACTCTGTTGGTTCAGAGTCTGCTCTCAGCAAGTTCAATCAGGAGAATATGGGTGCAGGTCATGTATTGTCATGCTAATATCATCTAGTCTTTTGTTTTTTCTTGCTTGCAAAATAGATGAGAAAACATTTCTAGGCATTCCTATGAAATTAATTTTAAGTATTAAACAAAATGTGTTTATCACTTGGACTGTGAGAGAAAGGGACTATAAAGGAGAAAGCAAATGGATGCAGTTTTAGTATAGGCTGAGGAAGGAAGCTGCTGAGTGGTGAAGTTTAGTCTCTGACAGAGGGAGCAGTCATACTCTGTGTTTGAACAACACCTAGACCATGCAAAGTTCAGCCTTTAGATATGTAATTTTTTTTGTTGCTTTTTTTAACATGCTAAACTACCCACAGAGGAACTGATTTCCTAGACTTAAAGGTCAAACATTCTGAATTTAAGGAATGCCAGAAACCAAGAAATTAATGCCACATCTGTGCAATTATAGCCTTTGATGACATAATCACTTGCTGATTTTGCCATAAGACTATCCTTTCTGCTTTACCAGTACATAGGGTGGAAGATGTGTATATCCAAATCCATACCTTCAAAGTAATATTTAGTTGTATTGACCATAAGTCTGTCTCTTCCAGCCAGGATCCTTCTAATACATATAACTGCACCTTCTGTGTTCTGAGCTAGCAGGAATGCTATAGATTCCAGTCATCTTCCTCACACAGTGTTAATTTATCACTAGAATATGTTCATCCTGAGCAGGGTCTCTAGAAAAAAAATAGTGTTTAATGCTGTAGTTACATGGTATCATAATGCATATACAAAGAGGCTGAATTCAGGCTGACTTTTGAGGATAAGACTTTGCAATCATAATAATGCTTTCTTAAATTTTGTGTGACATTCCCAGAGCTTGAAAATGCAAGCTTCTGTCAGACCTCCCAAGAATAGCAGGCCAGTGGCAGAACTGCTGAAAGTTGTGGGTATCACATTGACATCTGCTGGAGAAAGCACCTTTAGCGCCTTTCAGGCCTTTATGATGCCCTCTGCTGAAGTGGCAGCTGGAGGGGATAGTAGGAGTTTGTTACGATCCTGGATATGGGCCTGTACTGTAGAGGGAGGAGGTTGTAAAAGAATCACAAATCTCCTTCACCAGGTGTCCCAGCCCTGCCTTTGGAAGGGAGATTATGTTGTGGTGAGCACCGTTTCTTTCCTGATTATTTGAAATTTAGCTTCAACTGGTTTGCCCCTCAGCTGCCCCTGCATTCCTGTTGAGCTATCTGTCCCATTCTCCTCACCTACATAGTGTAGCCTCCAGTTCTCAGGATTCTTGATCTCATCCTATTTCCCTCGCCCAGAGAGTTCTCATCTCTCCTCTGCAGTTATTCTACCCCACATATAGTGTTATAATTTCCAGTTATATGAGGCTCCTGGCTGTTCTTTCCCTGTTTTTTTTTCTATACTCTGCACCAGTTTCCCCTAGTGCCGATCAGCTATCAGTGATATGCTACATGCAGATCTAAAAGCCAAAAACCTTGTATGCAGTGCTGGTGAAATGCAAGGTGCAGAGAGCCATTGTTGTGTTTTGGCTCCATGGAGTTACATGAAAAAGCGAGTAGGCATTCAGAGGAGCTGTAGATGTTTGTGACTTGCCCACGCACTGAGAGTTTGGGCACAAGGGATTGAGGGTCAGGGCAGTTTGTAGACTGAAGGAGAATGGTGGGCTGGTAGCTGAGTTCACCTCCTCCCTTACAGATGGCCCCAGCAGGGACCACTTGTGAAAGCTGGGCAAAGGACTGCTCTTGGTGTACTTGGGAAAAATGTGACTTTAAACTCCAAGCTGGGAATTGAGTCATCTCATTGCTGAACGTTTGGAACTGGTGCTGTAATTCCAGTACTGTAAAGTAGTATCTATGTGTATAGTAGTGTCTCTGTATATGTACCCAAAGCACAAGATGTTTTTTTCCTGCACACAGAAGTCAATGTGTGTAATTCACTAGATGAATATATCAGATTGCAGGTGCAGATTTACAGGTGTTGCTGTCAGGGCTGTCCTCTTAGAAGTTACTGAACTGTCATATGCCGGCCCCTTTGTTATACATTTTGCTGAGGCTCCATTGAGGTTGCAGTGTGTACAGGTGAAGATTATATTTTTTGTCTATCTTCAGTATACTGAGACTGTACACACCATAGGCATGGAAGGAGCGGTTGTATGTAATGTGGGTGATGTTACACAACATGTACTGCTGCAGAATTGTGCAAGCGAAATGCAAATAGGAACCTGTCCTGACCTAATCTATCAACTTGTCTACTGAAAGACAGAGCCAACCCTTTAAATAACCCAGGTTTACCAGCAGAGACAGGGAGATTGGATTCCTATATCTGCAACCTGAGTCCACAGCTGTGAGATTGCCTCCCTGATCTTTACAAGCCTAAAGTAGTCCTGCCAGGTTGTTAATGTGCAGTTAGCATCTAATAGATGAAGAAAGTGTTGGAAGGCTTGGGGAAAGATTTTGGTGCAGAAATTCTGAATTTTGGAGAAAAGTAAACTTCTGTTTGCCAGCAAGTCATTTGAGAAGGTAAGAAATCCAAGCATCTGGGGTAATGAATCTGCAGTTAACTGGAGGGCATGCCATAGCAGAAATCTGGGCACAATGCCTTTCCTTGAAGGAGGGGCTGGAGACAGCACAGGAGATGCCTAGGACAATAATAGAAGGGACTAGCATAAATCAGTTAAAGGGAGTGGGATCCATGGTTGGAGAAAGGAGCTGATTAAAGAACAGGCTCAGTTGAAAGAGGGAGCAGCTGTAAGGTTCAGCATCTAGGACTGGCAGAACAGTGCAGCAGCTCTGCACCCACTTGGTGGAGCCAGTGTTTTTAGGGGCATTGCACATACCTTACATCTATGCAAGACACCAAAGCAGCCTGTTTTCATGGGAGCACTGTTACACTTCATCCCAGTGCCAGGATGCAGCAATAAAGAACTTTACACATGCTGATGTACAGTGGGAACAGGGACTAGCTAACATTGTGGTCAAAGCAGAGAATTAGAAAGCCAGGTTCTTGGCACAAGCCATTTCATTTTTCTGTACCTCAGTTTCTCCTCTTCCCTCCCTGCTGCAGGAGCAGAGATTGTAATGGCTACCTCACTGCAGGAAGGAGTTCTGAAACTCTTCCTGTGTTCAGGTGAGAGCACCTGAAGAAGGACAAGGTGTTGCAGATGATTACTCCTTTGACTTACCCTATCTGGCTT